CATATTACACGCTAGGCCGAAAAACTGATTATGTTAATCACAGTTTAGACAACGAATCTCGGAATGCCAGTGACGTCGTCTTCATAAGCAACGCTACACAGTCATCATTTACATTAGCCGGGGTTCATCCCAATGATAAAATTATTTTAAATTACACGTCATTTTTAGACAGTTCCAATAAACTTTCAGAGTAACAGTTCCATTCGTTCACGTAATCGATTATGTTCCAGTTAGTGCATTGTACAGATATCACTGTCACACCGTTTTATGTTCAATGTAAGCTCCCAACGCTTATAAAATATATAATATTATAATCAGTCATTGGTAGTAGTTGTTGTACCGGATTCACCCGAGAATGGACCCGAGTTGCAATTCTACCTTCTAAATTGTTATTTACTACTTTTAAATATTAGGCCAGGTTCCGCCACACACGTGTTTTTACTAGTCAATATAAAATATTTCTGTGATTAATAAAATCGCGTAGTTTTGTTATTTTTTAAAAAACGTAGACAAAAATGAACTGATCATGTATGTTAGTGAGACTTTTGAACCCTGTGATTTGCATATTATACCTAAAAGCCTAAATGAAATGTATATATTAGCATTAACCATGCACATTTCAATCCTAGGCAATTAGATACAATACAATATGTTGATATCACGCTGAATTAACCGTGATCATAGATGCTTAACGACACGAAGCAACGGGGTGCCTGCGGGTACAACCAATTACAGCTGTTTTAGTTTACACACTGTTTTACGCGTAAAAGAAATAAATTACCTAAATAAATAGTTTTAATTTAACCGTGGTGTTTTTTTGTTTTTTTTTACTTGCATTCGTTCTTACATGAATTATATCAATTTACAAACGTTATAAATGAACAGATATGAATCGCGCGGGTACCATAGTCAAAATTGCGTACACACGCGACAAAAGTTGTCCTTAAAGCTGGATTAATTTCCCGTCAATGTGATAATTTGCATTTACATGATAAAATATTATTAAAGAGTAACTACATGAATAAAACAGGGGTTGTTATAATTCACCTTACCTGTCCTGGAAGTATATAGATGCAACCCTGTCAATGACGTGTACTACATTGACGTCGATTCGCCTGTATCACAC